TAGAGGCTCTCGAGGCCCGCGACGGCGTAGTTGGTCGCGATGAGGTCCCAGGACGGCCGCGACCCGTAGTTCGTCCACGTCTCGTAGGCGAACTTCGCGGGGCCGGCGCCGCAGCCGTCGCCGTCGTGGAACCGCGAGCCCGTGAGCACGTCCTCCCCGGCGGGGCTGAAGACCTGCTGGACGCTCGCCGGCATGTGGTCCACGACGTACGCGGCCGCGCCCGCGCAGCCGTCCGTGGACCCGAGCCAGGGCGACCAATCGCTCCCCGCCGCGTCGCCGCAGCCGAAGTTGTAGCCGAGGTCCATGTAGACGATCTGCTTGACCTTGGCGGCGAAGAGGTCTTTGTGCGCTTGCAACGCCTCGCGCAGCGCCGTGGGCTCGCCGATGGACGCGATGACGACGGAGCCGTTGCTGCTCGCGGCGAGCAGCCGCCCGTAGGCGTCGGCGGCGCCGTCGACGTCGCCCGCGCCGGCGACGCGCGACGGCCAGCGTTCCGACATGGCGGTCGCGTAGCGGTCCTGGGCCGCCTGCGCGTCGTCGGACGACGCCCAGGCGCCCGTGTAGGCGCCGTAGGCGCGCGTGTCGTTGCCGCGGCCGTAGTAGTTCATGATCGAATCGACGGCGCCGATGCCTTCGACCTAACAAGGGTGACGGGGTCGAGCATTGCGCGAAAAGGCACCCCTGTCACTCTACGCTGCCTTCGACGAAGCCCGTGTTGTGGACGACGCCGCGGAGCTCGCAGAGGCCCAGGTCCTGCAGATGGTTGGCGACGGCGATGGCGCCGGCGTCGTCGACGTCGAAGCCCAGGTCCGTGTCGATGATGAGCTCGACGACGGCGTCGGTGGCGGTGGCGAGGACGAGCAGCAGTGCGGTGCGCATCATGTCTCGTGCTAAGGAATACCTTCGGGCAGCCCGCAGAGCCCGCAGATGCAGCCCGCCATTGGTGAGATTGATGGTGGGGCGTTGTTGAGGTTCAAGTTGCAGTCGCTTCCGAAGCTCGAATCGAGAACAGCACCATGGCATTGCAGTGTCCGGCGCGCACGCCGATCCGCGCCTAGCTCGGCGTCGAGCGCCGCTCCGCGCCTAGCTCGGTCGCGGCGTCGCGACGCACCGTCCCGTGACCGCTGCCTCGACATTGATCGCATTGATCGCTGCTTTAAAAGAATCATGCGCGCCGCGCTGCTGCTGCTCATCGCAGTCGATGCCCTCGTGGGCCCGCGGGCGCCGCCGCGGCCGCCGCCGCGGACGGCGCGCCTCCGCGCCGCGCCGCCGCCGCCGTCCCTCGACGGCGCGCCGCCGCCGCCGTCCTTCGACGGCGCGCCGCCGGCGCCGCTCTACCTGCCGGGGAACGACGCGTTCCGCGGCCTGCCGTCGACGCCCGGCTGGCGCGCGGGCCGCTTCAACGAGCTCACGGACTGGGCGACGAACGAGGCGTCGAACCGACCCGTCGTCTGCGAGTACCGGCCCGACGGCGTCTGGCTCTGGACGAAGTGGCGCGGCACGGTGCTCGAGATGACCATCCTGCCCGTCGTCGTCACGATGGCGCTCGGCGCGGCCGTCGACGGCGGCGCGCACGCGCTCGCGGCGTCGGCGTGGCCCTTCTGGGGCGTGCCGCCCGTGGAGGATCCGTTGATCCGCCAGCTGTCGGGGCTGGGCGCGCTCTGGGAGTACAACCTGACGCTCTG